GTTATATTTCCGTTAAAAATTATTAGTAGGATTCGAAAATGGTGTTAAAAGATATGCCCGGCTTGGATATCCAGCGTCCCTCAGTATAAAGCCACCAGTCTGACGTTCTTCCAATTTAAGCGAAATGACACTGTTGTCGAATATTCGGGTGTCATGTGTTTCCCCAGGCCATCTTGCTACGATATCACGAATTGTCAGCCTTTGCGGTTTCTGAAAAGTTCAGCCTGTTCCCCTTTTGGATATTGGATTAGGATGTGAGTACAATCTATGGTTCCTATTACTCCCGGAAAGTTAGCCAAATCGTAGAATCCACGTTGAATTTTGGTTATCTTATTCTCAGTAGGAAATGTAATGAAATCAGACCTGTGGTTAGCTATCGCCATTGATATATTTTTCACAGTTCTGCTGACAGTAGATTGGTGTATGCCAATTATATCTCCTACATTTAACTGAAATGACCCAGAAGCATACAAGCGTAGAGTTATTAAAACTTGTAATTGCATGTTGGTGATGGTCTATTAAACAGTGCAATTGGTCTAAATAATTCTCCATTTCTTGTATACAACCAGTAAAGTTCAGCTGAAGTCACCTACTGATGAAACTTTGCCACGGCTTTCATTTTATACATTTGAAAGTCAAAGGTATCACTTTTGTAAAGATCGAGCGGCGCATACCTAATGTTCGACTTAAAAGTCTGACTTTAGTCAAAATTTAGGTTAACTACGAGCGCTGCATACGGCCCTGTCAAATACTGTGACTTTGGTGTAATTTTGTGATTGCGTTGTGCAGTAGAGGGAATTTTTAGACAAAAGTTAACTTAAAAACTTTCGATTGAACTCTTCAATATCTTTCAGTAAATATTTTGGCCTTGATCATTGAAGTATAGTTAAGATACTAACAGAATGAACAGTGAAAGATACCGGATGTGTTTTTGTTGATATTGAAAATTCTCTTGAGACGTTTTCCTGCTCCTTCAAGTTTAATCAAATAATAATCCATGTCGAAATGTGAGAATAAATATTTAAAATCCATTTCAATCAAATCATAGAAACCAGTTATCATTACCGAGACTGTGGTATCCATTTCAATATTTACATAGAGATATATAGATACAGACTTATATGTTCAAACAATCCATCAATGTCCTGTAATTCATAAACTCGCAGATAAGTTAGCTAATCGATAGGTCTGTTCTTATCGGTATTGGGAATTAAAATCGACGAAAACACACAAAACGGGGAAATTACAGGGGCAGAGGGTCGGCAGAAAGGTCTGAGGAAAATCATTATATCTGGTCGAAATGTGATCACAAATCAGAAAGATGACATTGTTGTGTCGACCATTCTGAGAATTTGTCATTTTTGTTATTTGTTCTCAGGGATCGCAACTACAGAAAACTGAAATTGTGATTCGACCATCTTGCCACTCTCAACCTATTATATCTGTCAAAGATACTTATGTGTGGTCAGAACAGAAGACAGAGATTCTAATGTTGCTTATATTGTCGGCTATTATTTCTGTTTCAAGATAGTTTCATGTGGTTACAACAGTTGACAAATATAGTTATTATGGTTGGCCATTCTGCAGACAGCTCATTTCAATTTTTGTTGTAACAATAGCACAAAGGATCGATAGTTAGGTTGGCCACTTTGCAGAGAACTCATTTACTTCTGTTAATTCGAGAAATGTTCTGCAAGGACTCTACAGCTTAAAGTTGAGATTGTAATGTCGTTCATCTTGTCGAAGATCAACCGTATATTGTTAGTACTGATGAATACAGTTAAAACGTGCAATGATTATTGACATAATTAAATGCAATTTTAATGTTTGAAGGGAGAATGTTTTATGTGGAATGGTCATAGATTGAATACCCAGTTTTGTCAACAATGTCACAGTTTATTGGGTCGGGTTCATTGTACTGTAAGGTAATCAGATCCTTTTGTATTTAACCAGATGTCAACAACATTCCTTATCTTCAATATTTTTAGAGATTGTAAAGATGTTTTCTAAACTTATTATGTTTATCAGGGTCCTTATTCTCTAAAACTTAACTTCAAATGATATTAGTGTTCCAGTTAACTGTTTGATCAATCACTAAAATCAATTTTATATTTAGTTTTATTATCCAATTAGATTACTATATTTCTTAAAATATTGACATTGGCCTATTTACGTTTTCGAGAACATGGCCCCAGGTGAATTAATAGCTCTTTAACCTCTTAACTCTTGAAGCAAAGGTCACTAAGCTTTCAAGGACAGATCATCCAGCTTATGACAATCTATTGATATCCAGCCGTTATATCTAGTTGAGGAATTTGAAGAATCAGACGCGTTAAAACTGGAAACTGGAATGTTGCAATGTGTAGGCACTAAGACTAAGGCATGTCATAAGATTTTTTAAAAAATATAGGAATCCCTTTAAGTTTAACTTGCAGTTATAATGTGATCGGCGCAAAAGAGCTTGTATCCTTGACACAAAACAGGGGATAACGTGTATGGTTTATATCTGCAGAAGGGCGTAGGGTGAATAAGAACTCGACAGTGCTAAAGGCCAAGATAACCAAGTAAAAAGTAATACATTAGTGACACGGACTAATGCATCTCTTATGCAAAAAAACCCAAAAATATATCGATAAATTAAGAATGAATGATTGGTAGATTTGAGACTGTCAAGTACAATGTAGGTTTAGTACATTAACATATTGATCTTCAAACATCCTAATCGATGCTTCTTCATTTAAACTGTGACATTCGTTTCTTTACAGCCTTTCGCTGCAGGCTTATTTATCTATTTAATGGGCTAGAAATGACATTGTTTACAAACGTCTTCTTCGTATTAACCAACTTATCGGTTATTTCAGCCTGCGCAGTTCCACCGGAAGTACAATTTATTAGTATTCATTATGCACCAGTATTTGTCGCTGTGTGGTAACATGTGATATAAATTCCAATATTGACATACATCGCCATTATCACTGTGGGAGGGTCTGGAAATGTTATAAATTCCTTGAAATCAGGTCACCAGCGTCTGGTTCCTGGATTCTTCGATTGAAGTCCACAGGATTCACAATGAACAGTTTGTTGAACTGACAGATCAGGTTCAGGGCCTGTTGTTAAACTAGTCATAGCTCACGATGAGCGTATGCCAACCTTATTGGTAAACCCACCCCCGGTACTTATATCCAATAACTTTACTCATAACAAACAATTGGTGATGCTTTTGATAGGATCATCAATCAATCAGTTGGAACTCAACCTACTTGTGAATAGTCAACAGAATTGGAAATAAAGGTTGTAGTATTTATGTAGTGTCCTGAATTCTCGAATGGGACCAAATGTTGCATTATTGATTGAGTTACTGAAAACTTCACAGTTCTCGGTGAACTTTTGGAGACATATTCTAGCCACTGTTGGTAAAAGGAAAATATTTAAGTTTCAGAATTAGATCTGAAAATATTGCAGACATTCTAGTATAACAAAGAATTTTTTTGTCGAACGTACTTCATAAAACACTAAAGAACTGTTGTACTAATCTCCTATTGACAATCATCACGCAATCCAATTGTTAGCGATTTCTTTACTGCCTCTCAACCTGCTTTGTGAGTGTAATTCTACATTAGCCTTGCTCTAATTGATTAGAAATTAATTTCCTTTCTTTTACCACAAACTTGTTTTTCTTCGCTCAACCTCTCTATACAAACTGGAAATAGAGTAGGTTAATGCCACTGTCTTGAATATAAAAATTCTCAATACAGACTGCATTGTATGGCCCAGACGTTACAAGATGATATTCTTTCTTAAAACTATATTTATATACAAAAAATGTGCTAAAACCTTATTAAATATTAGGAATGAAATGTTGACTATCCTCAATCAGATGTTCTAGTCAAGGGACACAAGAACGATTACAGTATCACGTTTATTATGTGTGTTTTCACAAGACATCTGTACGGAAGCGTATTAGGGCCATTCAATTTTTTTTTTTTTTTTTAATTTTCAAGTTAGTATGTTGAATTTTCAAGTTAGTAGCTTGAATTTTCAAGTTAGTATGTTGAATTTTCAAGTTAGTAACTTGAATTTGACCATCTGACCATCCTCAATAAATAATTATATAATTCGAATGCAGTGGCTCAACTAGATGATTGGGGCCTATGGACTTCAGTAGTGCCTCGGGGTTTTGTCTCTAACATATGCTCTCTTGCATTCTGAGGCTCCTGTTTTATGCCTGTTAATGTTTTATTTTGTAGGGGTGGGAGCGGGTGGGGGGCTCCTTTCTTGGTCTGGTGGTCCGGGGACTTTGAATCAGTCCCTATGGTAGTTGCGTCACTGTCTAGTGTTTGGAAGTTATTGGCTTTTGTCTGATCAATGAAACTGTATCAAGTACTACTGCAGTAGATTATGTAACTAGTTGTAGTGATCAACTTTTTTCCATTCTTCTTGACAGAATTCTAAAGTATCTAAATGTCTCGGGAATAAGTCAGCGCCCCCTGGAGAGAATCAAAGTTATTCTTAGACCTTAACAATAATACACACAATTAATGGATTTCTTCCAATACGCAGTAATAATTGCTTTCTAACAACTCAATCGATATCAAATTAACAAACCATGAAAATACAATGCTGGGAATCTATTGAGTATACCGATTTAATATCATTATAATGTCATGAAAATTCTGTTTTCTAAACACCGCTCTCTAAGCCGGATACGTTTTTGTAACCAGTCCGATTTGGTATTGGTTTGCCGGATACGCTTTTGTTTGCAGTCCGATTTGGTTGTTAACTATGGTTAATGTTTATTAAATTAAATATGGATTTTTTCAAATGGTTATAAAAATCTAATTCGATCTGTACGTCATGTAGGCCACCACCGAAGATGGCATCTTTACATATATTACAATTAGAAAAAAATTCTGCTAAAATATCAGATCCAAAATGTCCATGATTAGATAAAACCACAAGTCAGACCAAGCAAATAATGAACTCTCTAGTGTGTATATTAGAGTAGCTTGAATTTTCAAGTTAGTATGTTGAATTTTCAAGTTAGTAACTTGAATTTTCAAGTCAGTAACTTGAATTTTCAAGTTAGTAACTTGAATTTTCAAGTTAGTATCTTGAATTTAGTAACTTGAATTTTCAAGTTAGTAGGTTGAATTTTCAAGCTAGTATGTTGAATTTTCAAGTTAGCATGTTGAATTTTCAAGTTAGTATCTTGAATTTTCAAGTTAGTATCTTGAATTTAGTAACTTGAATTTTCAAGTTAGTATGTTGAATTTTCAAGTTAGTAACTTGAATTTTCAAGTTAGTATGTTGAATTTTCAAGTTTGTATCTTGAATTTTCAAGTGAGTATGTTGAATTTTCAAGTTTGTATCTTGAATTTTCAAGTGAGTATCTCGAATTTTCAAGTTACTAACTTGAAAATTCAATATACTAACTTGAAAATTAAAAAAAAAAAAAAAATGAATGGCCCTAATACGCTTCCGTACATCTGACCATCCTCAATAAATAATTATATAATTCGAATGCAGTGGCTCAACTAGATGATTGGGGCCTATGGACTTCAGTAGTGCCTCGGGGTTTTGTCTCTAACATATGCTCTCTTGCATTCTGAGGCTCCTGTTTTATGCCTGTTAATGTTTTATTTTGTAGGGGTGGGAGCGGGTGGGGGGCTCCTTTCTTGGTCTGGTGGTCCGGGGACTTTGAATCAGTCCCTATGGTAGTTGCGTCACTGTCTAGTGTTTGGAAGTTATTGGCTTTTGTCTGATCAATGAAACTGTATCAAGTACTACTGCAGTAGATTATGTAACTAGTTGTAGTGATCAACTTTTTTCCATTCTTCTTGACAGAATTCTAAAGTATCTAAATGTCTCGGGAATAAGTCAGCGCCCCCTGGAGAGAATCAAAGTTATTCTTAGACCTTAACAATAATACACACAATTAATGGATTTCTTCCAATACGCAGTAATAATTGCTTTCTAACAACTCAATCGATATCAAATTAACAAACCATGAAAATACAATGCTGGGAATCTATTGAGTATACCGATTTAATATCATTATAATGTCATGAAAATTCTGTTTTCTAAACACCGCTCTCTAAGCCGGATACGTTTTTGTAACCAGTCCGATTTGGTATTGGTTTGCCGGATACGCTTTTGTTTGCAGTCCGATTTGGTTGTTAACTATGGTTAATGTTTATTAAATTAAATATGGATTTTTTCAAATGGTTATAAAAATCTAATTCGATCTGTACGTCATGTAGGCCACCACCGAAGATGGCATCTTTACATATATTACAATTAGAAAAAAATTCTGCTAAAATATCAGATCCAAAATGTCCATGATTAGATAAAACCACAAGTCAGACCAAGCAAATAATGAACTCTCTAGTGTGTATATTAGAGATGAAAGATGTCTGATGTTTCTATCAAACTAAATACAGCATTTAGAGACACTTTAATATGCAGCCGATGCTGTCAATAGCATCATAACATCCCTTTGGTTTATAATGTAAAGCTGAAGCCCAACCCATCAATCAGTGATCCACAACAATTGTTTTGCAATTCAAAATTTGAAAACAACCCGTTTTGACCTACTAATTTGAGTTTTATTTCTGTAAAGAATAGCTAAGTGTCTTGATTGTACATTACTATAATAAAATAAGAACTAAATAGAATCAATCTATTATTTTATTGAGAAACCCGACGAGAAAAATGACAAGTTGAGAATAAAAAATATAATCAAAAGACTATTGTGATGTCTAGACTATGTTTAATTTGACAATGAACTTGCTGATTTTACCATTACGTGGAACCAAAACATTCCCATTAATAGACTTGTTTACATTGTAAGAACTTAATGAATGGAATGGACTGAACATAAGTACTATTTCTGAAAGTATTGAAATGAACCCAGATTTGCCGGCACTGAAATAAAATGAAGTGGAATAACGTGAAATGACCAACTTGAAAACCCAAAAGATTTCCTAAATAGTCATTGTGCCAGCTTTCATCAATGAGGTGGAATCTCATGATATAGCTCACTATCATTGCATTGGAACGGCAGACTTTAAGAATGTCCAGAAATAGACATCATAATGTAATATCTTAAATGAATGTTATGACACATAACCCGGAGTTGCTTGTTCTGAAATGGGATTACATGATGTGACAGTCAATAGAGTAGTCCAATGATAATGCTAGTTTGACCGTTACTGAATTCTGAATTTGTTACAGTAAAATGAGAATAGTAAGAAACTAGAACTGTTCTAATAACAGTACTGATGCAGGGCGTGTTACGACATTCAGGTACATACGAAGATGGTCTATTGCAATTACATTGATGTAAATACTTTTCTGCATCTCTAAATGCAAATATCCAAAAGAGTTGACGAACTTTCTAGAAAGAAATTGGGGAGAATGGTATTTTAACGGACATGTCAAAGTCAGGAATTTTATCTATACTGACATCTCATTAACCAACTTAAATTTGATACCACAATGTTAAACGAATAGAATTTTTAAATATGCATGTTACATAGTCATGTTGTATATCACTGGAAAGCTCAGAATCTCAGCATTATGAAATCGAAAGAATTATTGCTATATCACTATAAGGCTGCAAAGGTTCTAAATGGACCATTTTTAAACTCCTATAAAATCGAAAATAGTTGTCTGACCCCAAAGGTCAAAAGGTCATCAGATATTCTAGGTCACAAATTATCATCAAAGTAAATATGAAGGTCACCAAAGGTAAAGGTCATGAGATATACGTCTTCAAACCTTGAAAAAAAAATATTCGGTCGTACAGAAAAGGCAAAACCGAAAATCAAAATTCTGTCAACAAGTTTTAGATAAACGTTAATTCTATCATTTGACACCAAAATTGTTCAAATCGGATGATAAATAGCTCCAAAATAGCAAGTTTTGCATATTGAGGCAAACCAATATGGCGACCTATATGTTACTTCCGGTACGAATTTTTTTAGTTGTTACACTTTGTATTAGTAACACTAAAATTATGCATATGTCATTTCTGACATAACTCAATTTCATCAAGTGATGCCACCGGAAGTACTAATATCGAAACCGGAAGTGATAAACATTTTTTGACTATTCAGAATTATTTGCCCATACCGACGGTCTACACCATAAAAATCCGTCAAAAAGCAACCGAAGTAGCATTTTTCGATTAATTTCGACAAAAAAAAGTATCGAACGAATTTTGGAAAATCGAATATTTTTAACTGCTATCATATGTCCTTTGTACTAAGAATTATAATAAAGGAAACCCGAGCAAAATCGAACGATAAATACGCCCTCTACAGTACAGAACGCCCTGCAATTAAAACAAAGTTTTTGAGATTATAAGTGTTAAAAACATCTGATATGGAACGGTTAGCACGAATAGTAGCGTCTTGAATGGTACTAATTTGTTTGTCTTCCCCCACTAACCATAAAATGTCTAAGTGGCATGTAATGAGCAAACGTGGAATTCCGCGAGAACTATGCCTGAAACCTTTCCCGGTGCTAACCTGGTGTTCTGAGGCTAAAGACTTGTAAACCAGTGCTTAATATGTTCGGTACTAGCAGACCTCAAGTTGTGTACTCCAGTAGACATATTTATGATGACAGTTAAACCGTCTTCTCCAGACAGCACTACACTGATCATCTCGTTGAGTGTAATAATGAGTCGAGAATGATACAATGGTATTACCAGATTATATTTCCCCTGTGAGTATCTGTCAGTATGGTTTTAACAAGATCGGAAAAATGTCACATAAAACATGTCCTTCACTGGAAACACTCAGTTCAGTTGTTTGATTTTCTTAATCAATTAAAACAAAAATAACAACTTTTTAACAAAATTAGACTAGCAGTTTTGCCGCGTAAAAGAGAACTAAAATCGTGGAAGGAGCCGTCGGAGAAGGACTTTACAATGAGTCTCTAGAAGAAACGATCAGTTTCAGTACAAAGTTAGTGCAGAAAGTCGATTTTGTGGTTTATTTTTTACAAATTTATTTAGCAATGATTGCGAATTGTTTTACTTGTACAAAAACATTTTTTCAACCACGTCGATCTCATCAAGTTGAATACAAATATGAATTGCTGTTATTTTAGAATTGAGTGATACTATAAGAAAGCTATTTCATGCAAGAAAATAAACAGACTCTATTTACGAGGTCTCATGTGTGGAAAATGGGTTTTGAACTTTTTCTATTAAAACATTTCTCAGCAAATCGACTTAAGGTTGAAGTGAATCAATATCTCGACATCCTTACATCAATATTTGGCCATTTTTCATCACTTTACTTGCCTAGCTTGATTAATTTATATCAACTTTTTACAATTGCCAATTGACGAGTAACGCTTCTATGGTGAATTTAGCAACGACTTCCATAAGACCAAAGTGAAAATTAATCTGCTTAAGCCTTAAATTGACATATTGGTCGAGAAGTTTTTATATTCCTTCTCAATGAATTATTCAAATCAACTTGGGAGTTAGATTAAATATTGGTAAATGGTTGAACTAGAACTTTAACCCTTCCCACATTCGTTGCTAAAAATAGACCCAGATTATCAGCTTCGACAAATTTCCACATAAAGTATCAGTGTCAAGCCTTGATCTATTGAAAACACCTCAACATAGGCAGAAAGGATACTGTCATGAACATGTAGAATCAGTAACTCTCTATCGTGTCTTTTAAGAACATCTTCTGGAATACTAATAGAGTAAGACAGTTTTATTTGAATGACACCAATCTGTAATCCCAGTTCTTGTTACTCAAGGGTATATATTTTCAGCTATAAACTGACTATTTAAGCTAGGGACCAAATTCTGGTTTGTAATGCCAGGTGATAGGCAATAGTTCAAAAGTAAAATGTCCTTTAAATTAAATACTCTAAAATAAAAGTTAGGTGAAACCTGGCATTGGTGATAAAGTTTACCATGAAAGATCAGAACAAGACGTCAAGAAAGAGCCGTCGGGTACAAGAACCGGAATAAAAAGAATATTTCTGGGTTAAATGGAAGTAAATGTTTACTTCCAATGTTTTCAACATCCGACATCAATTACCGATCTCAGTCTATATAATGGACATCTTAAGATCTAAGCTGACACAATGGAAGAAATGGAATTTCTATTGACCATGTAGATTGAAGCCTTTCTTCACTTTAAACACCACTTCATTGACACACAGTAGGACAATATTTACCTTCACATCTTCAACTAATTATCTCCCCTTGTTTGATTCGATTATCGCCCGTAGATAAAGACTTGATCAGCCAGTCGTTCAACAATTCTTGCTAATGATACAGTTGCTCACAAGCAATGGTCAGTTCAGACCAACCACATGATAGACGATGTTGGATGCTAAGTTGGCATCGCACTATCAATAAAACATTCTCATATTAAAGCAAAATCCAT